GCACGGTCCGTCACGGCACGGCTTGGGGGACCTCGGAGGCCCCCGTCGCCCGAGACGCCCCCGGAGAACAGCCCGAGTCCCAAAACCGTGCGGCGACCCCGAATCCCCGTCGACTCACGGAACTGTGTGGCCACCGCAGACCGTGCGGTGACCCCGAATCCCCCTCGACTCACAATGGTCACCGCGAGCGCCGCAACGTCCCGGGCCCCCCGAAGTTCTCCACCCCGAGCCAAGCTTTGCTGGCCCCGGGGCCCGACCGCGGGCCCGGGAGACCGACGACGAAGGGATCGAGGACAAGAGCGTCGTCAGCGACAGCCGCAACTCGGGCCTCCGGCGGCCGTCCGACCCCCCCGGGGCGCTGACGGCGAGACGCGCCTGACAGAAAGCATCCCGAGACGAGAAATCTCAGAGACCAGCGAGGAGGAGGAGGAGGAGGAGGAGGAGGAGGAGGAGGCAGAGGAGGCAGAGGAGGCAGAGGAGGAGGAGGGAGGAGGAGGAGGAGGAGGAGGAGGAGGAGAGGAGGAGGAGGAGGAGGAGGCAGAGGAGGAGGAGGAGGAGGAGGAGGAGGAGGAGGAGGAGGAGGAGGAGGAGGAGGAGGAGGAGGAGGAGGAGGAGACCTGGGGCCCCGATCCTGGGCCCTTGCGGGGCCGCCCTGGGGCCACGAAGGTCACAGGAGCATGCACGGCACCACCCCGGAGAGGGGTCCAACACCTGCGAGGCACGGGCACGCCTCTCCGCATCCTTCCCGCCCAGTGTCTGGCTTCACCTCGTTCCCGCTCGAACGGAAACGCACCCGCGCTCTGCGAGCATGGCGCCGGCCACAGATGAACGTCTCAGGAGAGAGAGCCCTGGGCGCAGGCCCCTTCCAACACAAAGACATGCATGAGCATGAGCCTTCTGAGGCCCGCGCGGCTCTCTCGGATCGGCGGTGGCCCCCCTTCTGTCCGCCGCGCACTCTTTTCGGTTCTGGTATGGATCGGCGGTGGACAAACCTCCCTTTAGTTAAAGCTCCCCCTAGTGGAAACGGCCTAGAGCCGAAACCGACGGACCTGGACCCGCAAAGAGTGACGGCCGAGACGCCCTCTCGCGAACCGAAAACGGCCAATTCGCTAATCGACGTGTCAGGGCAGGAGGAGGCGGAGGGCAGGCCCACCCGCGAAGGACCAGCCGGCGCTCCGCCTCCTGGGAGGCGAGGTGGGGGAGGGAGCGAGACGGGGGAGGAGGAGGAGGAGGAGGAGGAGGAGGAGGAGGAGGAGGAGGAGGAGGAGGAGGAGGAGGAGGAGGAGGAGGAGGAGGAGGAGGGGGAGGGGGAGGGGGAGGGAGAGGGGGAGGGGGAGGGTGGGAGGTCTATGTACCTCCGAATGGAGAGAGAGGAGGCGCGGGGCCCGCGGAGCCGAGGAGAGGGGAAGGAGCTCGAGCGATGCCGTGCCAGGGTGAGAAGCTCGGGACGCACGCGCGCAGGTGTTTTTTTGTGATTTCGGGGGCCGTTTTTGTTTCGACTTCGTTTTGCGGGAAAGGCGGATTCGAGACACAAAAGCGGGGGAAAACGAACACAATACGAAAACGAACAACACCGTTTATAGGTTCAGCCCTGCCGCCGTGATTCCCTCACCACGTGAGCGAGGTCTCGACACCTTCCCTATGGGGCCAGCTTCTCGTCCTGAGCTGTCTGTTGAAGTTCCCTGAGCCCGGCAATGGGGGCCTCCCGAACGGCGTTCGCGCAGGTGGGGTCGGATGATCGCGCCACATCTCCGATGCATTGCCGCCGCACTGGCGGTGCATCAGCGACGTCGGAGCCGTCGGCGTGGAGAAGATCGGGCTCCGTATCGAGCCGCATCGCCCAGGCATCGCCCGTGCGGCGTGATCACCCCATCTGGTCGGGGCAGCTTCTCGCCCTGGGCCCATTTGTGATGGCCCCGGGGCTCGGCGACGGGCTGCAGAGGCCGAGATCGAACATACTCCCCGCGCTTTGGACCGGCGCGTTCCCCCCAAAACGCCGACCACGGCAGACAGCGCACTGGCCATCGCTCGGACGTCCATTCCCGGTATTTTCTTCGGTTTCGTGCGTGGTTCTTTCGCCAAATGATCAAAGATGTTCCTCGATGGTCCTCGCCGAGGAAATGATCCCGGCAAAGCAACCTAACAGCGATGTGTATAAGCATATCTGGAAGCATTCCCCTTAAGATTCAGGTGAGAATCCAGTTGTAGAATTCTGCTGTTCTCGCAGTCGCAGTCGCATTCGCAATGACAGTCGCAGTGGCAACGGCCTTAGGATCCAATGGAATCCTAAGGATTCCTAGGGATTCCTAGGGCATCCTTAGGCATCCTTAGGAATCCATGGGAATCCTTAGGAAACCTTAGGAATCCTTAGGAATCCTGATTCCCAGGGATTCCTAGGGATTCCTAAGGATTCCTAGGGAATCCTAAGGATTTCTAAGGATTCCTGAGGATGCTTAACTATGCCTACGGATTCCTAAGGATGCCTACGGATTCCCAAGGATTCCTAGGGATTCCTAAGGATTCCTATGGATTCCTACGGATGCCTCAGCCTGCCTCAGTTTCAGCCTCAGCCTCAGCCTGCCTCGGCTTGCCTCAGCCTCAGCCTCAGCCTGCCTCGGCCTCAGCCTCAGCCTGCCTCAGCCTCAGCCTCAGCCTGCCTCAGCCCTCAGCCTCAGTCTCAGCCTGCCTCAGCCTCAGCCTGCCTCAGCCTCAGCCTCAGCCTCAGCCTCAGCCTGCCTCGGCTTGCCTCAGCCTCAGCCTCAGCCTGCCTCGGCCTCAGCCTGCCTCGGCCTCAGCCTGCCTCAGCCTCCCTCCTCCCCCCCCCCCCCCCCTTCCCCCCCCCCTCCCCCCCCCATTCAGCCTCACCTTGTCTCAGCTTCGGCCTGCCTCGGCCTCATCCTCAGCCTCAGCCTCAGTCTCAGCCTGTCTCGGCCTGAGCCTGCCTCGGCCTCAGCCTCAGCCTCAGCCTCAGCCTGCCTCAGCCTCAGCCTCAGCCTGTCTCAGCCTCAGCCTGCCTCCATCAGCCTCAGCCTCAGCCTCAGCCTGCCTTGGCTTGCCTCGGCCTCAGCCTCAGCCTGCCTCGGCCTCAGCCTCAGCCTCAGCCTGCCTCAGCCTCAGCCTCAGCCTCCCTCAGCCTCAGCCTGCCACGGCCTCAGCCTCAGCCTGCCTCAGCCTCAGCCTGCCTCAGCCTCAGCCTCAGCCAGCCTCAGCCTCAGCCTCAGCCTCAGCCTGCCTCGGCTTGCCTCAGCCTCAGCCTCAGCCTGCCTCGGCCTCAGCCTCAGCCTCAGCCTGCCTCAGCCTCAGCGTCAGCCTCTCAGCCTCGGCCTGCATCAGCCTCAGCCTCAGCCTCAGCCTGCCTCAGCCTCAGTCTCAGCCTGCCTCAGCCTCAGCCTGCGTCAGCCTCAGCCTCAGCCTGCCTCAGCCTCAGCCTGCCTCAGCCTCAGCCTCAGCCTCAGCCTGCCTCGGCGTGCCTCAGCCTCAGCCTCAGCCTGCCTCGGCCTCAGCCTGCCTCGGCCTCAGCCTGCCTCAGCTCGGGCACTCAAAATATGGCACAGGACTTGTGTTCTGGGAACACGAAGATTACGAAGTGGCCCACAGTTGGCTCCGGGCAATCAAAGTATGGTACAGGAATGGTGTTTTGGGAACACGAAGAACACGAAGTGGCTTATAATTGGCCCCGAGCATTCAAAATGTGGTCTGGGAATGGTGTTCTGGGAGCACGAAGAACACGAAGTGGCCTACAATTGGCTCCGGGCATTCAACATGTGGCCTGGGAATGGTGTTCTGGGAAGACGAAGAACACGAAGTGGCCTACAGTTGGCTCCGGGCATTCAAAATGTGGCCTGGGACTGGTGTTCTGGGAACAGAATCTGTAGGAATCCATCGGAAACTATAGGAATCTATAAGAGTCCTGGGGAGTCCCCAAGTTCCCCGGCTTCTCCCGGCATCCGCCCAGACCCCCCTGGGGAGTCAAGATGCTCTCTTTTGAGCCCACTAGAAGCCTATCAGTCCTCGCTGTTACACGTCCGAGCGATGCCAGGCGCAGTGGCAGAAGAGAAATCGGCGGGACATCTGGCTGGCGCCCACAACTCATCGAAGGCCATCGCGCCCGTGCCGCGGGGCCGATGGGGCCGCGCGGGAGGAGGAGGACGGAGAGGCTCTGGGGGGCCCTCTGTACACGACCCCCTCTGAAATCTGGGAGTTGCAACTTTTGTTCACACTGGTCGTGTTCGCCCGGCTTCAGGCCCCAGGACCATCACGATCGACATACGGCTCGAAATACATGCACCAGAAAGATGTGGGGTCTCCATGGCGTTGGACGTGACTTTTCGGGAGGCTGCAAGCCGCTCGCAAATTCAAGCTCGGATCCCCGACGATACGGTACTTTCCGCCCCGGCGCTCTCCCACGAGTTCGGCTTCCCCAAGGGCTCCCAACTTCGCGCATCGCGCTGCGCGAAGCGCGAATAACTTCGCGCTCTCGCGCCGCCCCCCCAAAGGGAGAAGAGGAGGACGAGGAGGAGGGGGAGAAGGAACGAGGACCGCGAAGCGCGAATAGCTTCGCGCCCTCGAGGGCGCCCTTGTTCCCGGGGCAAATGTCGGGCCCTTGCAGCATCAGGCACCCGATCCGGGGGAAAAAACAGATACCTCCCTCGGGGAAGGGTCGAGCCCTCCGGGGCCGCGCACCGAGTGAATCACACCGCCGGGTGTCTGGGAAGGGGCGGGGTCTCGGGAGGGAGGGAGCAGAGACGGCGAAGGCTATCTTGGAGCGTGCCCCCTGGCGGCTGGAAGCATGACAGAAGAGCTGCAGTTCGAGAACATGATAATGGCGTGATTCTGGCGCTGCGCGCCGTAACAAGGAAACGCGCGCTTAGCATTCAAGCCATGGTCCAGGCCATAAAGCCTCAGAAGAAGAACTGCGCTGCTAAGAATCTCCATTTCATCCTCCGCCTCTTCCTCATCCTCCCCCTCCTCGCCCCTCCCAGAGGCACCGCACCTTGACCTCAGTGGAAAATGCTCTTGAAGAAACCGTTCTTCCGCTGGTACGGCCCTTCGACGGGCTGAGGCTTGGCGCACCCAGGGACCATCCGGATCGCATCCGTGTGGTCGTCCGTGCCCAACAGCCCTGCAGGCGAATCACCAATCCCAGAGACGGTGAACGAGATGTCGTTCCTGCGGAGAGTCAGGAGGCAACGCAAATAAGACGAATCTTAATCCAAGACCAGGGCAAAATCGGACAGGGGAACATTGGGGATCTCTGAGATCCAGCGGTTCTCGAGCACGCATCGGGCGCAACGGCCGTTCCAGAGCGCTCTGGAACGCTCTGGGAGCGTTCCCGAGCAATCTATCCCGGTCCTGGGCCCGCCCGAATGATTACACACTCTCGGACATCTGCGGACGATTCCTCCGCGACGCTGGGTCTGGGGGATACGCAGCTGGCAGGGTAAAGAACAAAAAGCTCCCAAAGACGCGCGAGGACGTGCGTGTGGTCGGGCGGTTTCTGGCTTCCGCCTTCCTGCTCCCTCGTGCCGCCCGGACCCCCCGGGAGATCTCTCGGCCCCGCCGCCCCAACGGAGCCAGACCTTTTGATCCTGAGAGCCGTCTTCCGACAGCTCCGAGGCCCAGAAACGCCCTCTTGACGCCGAAAACCAACATGTTGAGAGAGTATGGCGTCTTCCCCCTCGCGTCTTGAACCAAAACGTTTAGTTACAAGTTCCCGCATCTCTCGCTGCGTTCTGCACCCAGCCACTATCCCGCTTCGTGGGATTGATGTGCTACTTCCTACCTTCCTGGGGCAGAGGTTTAAACCGAACGCCCCTCCTGAGCCACCTCCTGTCTTCGCAAGAAAGCAACGCTCGAAACCGCTGCCACTGTGGAATCAAACGTGAGCGATGATGGCAACAGCGCTGCCCACTTTAAGTCGTGCTCGTCCGCCAGCACTGTGCTGCCCGCTTCTGGCCCGACCAATTACCCGGCAACTTTCCGTGCCTTCGAGCGCCTTCCTGCGACCCCGCAGAAATTCATCAACTTCATTGGGGTCACCTGCGCTGACGCTGAAGGCCTTCGTTCCGATGCCCGCTAAGATCTCGTCTGTGCGCACCTTCTTGATCAAGAGAACTCTGCGATTGAGGTGGTCTTGTAGCCAGATCTAACAAGCCCGCGTCAAGGAGACTGACTTTGCCCACGCCAACTCTGGATGCAATGCCCTTGCCTGCCGCGCTGTCGGCGTGCACGTCTGCGGCCATCAGTCCTTCCATGTCTCGGATCATTGATATCATGGCGATGGCGGTGGAAACGCCCTTGGGCTGGGAAGCAAATTCCGCCTCGCCAGAGCTCAAGACAGGGGCCGTCTGGGTCGCAACCTATACTCGCAAACAACGCTTGACGTGCATGGTGACCACGCGCGACGCGCTCTTACGATCCGGATCCCGCGCCCAATCGCCGTCCGCGCACACGTCGATCCTTGTCAGTTGGTCCTGGAAAAAATGATTCTGGATCCACCGGCCACGCACGTGCAGGTACTTCAGGCCTCTCTTCAAGAAGGCCAAAAACCTCTCGGCGCCATGAATCTGGCCAGCCGTTTTGCGCTGATGTCATGAATCCATACACTGGCACGTCTGCGGTCAGATGGGCCAATCTCGCAGATGTGGATCCGAGCGCTGTCGCCTGCCCTCGGCCCAGGGGCTCCTCGTCACGCGTGTCCCCCAACCATTTGTCCGCTGGCGTAGTCGCGGATTTCGACTGGCCGTCAAAACCAAACGGTATCAGGCTCACGAGAAGCGACCCGGGACTCATCGCTCAAGCCCACCAGCCAGTTTAGGATGGCGAGGCTCTGTCGCCTGCTGCGTCCAAGCCAAACTTCGGGCGTCTCTTGACGATCATCGCGCCCACGAGACCCTCTTCGAGCCGGTCCAACCCCTCATCAGATTCCTCGGTGACTACATCGTGTCCGTGGCGCCACCCAGGGCTGTTCTCGGCAATGCAATGATACAAACAAGGTGATGACAGAACTCGCCCCAAACGTTTGCGGTGTCCCGTGTCCGGTGCTACGAGCGCAGCAGTCTCTCCGCGAATCCTGATCGAGCGCCCCCGAGGGCAGGCAGACGACGTTAAATTCCCGGCGACACTTCGGGTGAAGGTGCGCTCGAGAATCGCCCGAGACTAAGATCTCACGCTCTCCGGGGCTTCTGGTTGGCCACCTTGTTTGCGATGGGAACCGGCACAACGCATACATCAACGACCCGAGGGGCGGAGTCGCAGCAATTGCGCTCTCCATCGGCGGCAACTCCCACATCAACTCACGCCCAACGAGTCTAGCTCGAACGTCTGTTGCGCTCGCGCCCCCTTCGCTGGCCGCGGTCCACCTCGTCGACCTTGGCCATCGCATCCGGCACCTTCTCATAGACAGCGAAAGCACTAAGATATTCAAGTTTCTCGACTTTGGCTTCCCCGACGTCAATGGGGTTCAGCAGTTCGCCCGTCAGCTCGTCGAAAAATTGCTCGAGCCCGTCTTCCTCCCACTGTGGGGCGTCGTGACCGTCATGCCCGGATCCAGGGCGCCGGCGCTGACCGCGCCGTCCTGCTGTAGCTGCCTGCGCCGCCGTCTCAGGGCAGCTGCCACTGTGGCCCGCGTGCTTTACACGGTCTGACGCGTGGCCCCCATGGTGCTGGCGGCACTCTCGCTGTCGTCGCCCTGGAGCTTCGTGAGCTCCTCGGCGATGCATCCGGAATTGGTCAACCACCCCGCGGCATTCTGGCCCTCGCGTGCTGGGCACCCACGTGCCGCGGCAGATGGCCACCGTGATCCCCCCTCTTCTTCCTCCTCCCCCTGCTCGCGGCCAGGGGGCGGCGCCGTTCTTGCGCTCGTGGAGGAGATAATTCCTCCTTACACCGCCTCCCGAGGCTGAGCCTGGGAGGCTGCGTGGCCGGTTAGGTTCAGTGGCACCCAACCGCCCAGCGGCTGGTGGACATGGTGGACTGTGCCAGGGCGGCGCGGCCTTGGGGTCGACAAGGGCAAATCTCTCTCCAGTGGAGGAATTGCTGGCGTTACTTATGGAGAGGTCGCTGCTGTGCCCCCCCGCCCCAGCTGAACCCGGCACGCGGCGTCGTCGGAAAGGCGACGGGGGACCTTGCCGCGCTGCCGGAGGCGCCGGTGGAAGTGTCGGGTGCTTGGTCAGGCGGGTCACCGCGGCTTTGGGGATCAGAACCGTTTGACCCGTCATCGCTTGCGACGGGGTCGGCGTGCCTGAACCAGCGGTGCCCGCCGAAAGAGAACATGGCCGTGCGGTCGCGCCCCTGTCGCAGGGCGGGCCCGCGTGAGGGCTCCGCTTCGGGGCGTGGTGCGTCGTCTCCTGGTGGGTGGGGTTGCGCCGCGGGCTGCGGGTGGACCACAGTGGGCTGATGGCGGCCTTGGCGCCCTGGCGGGGGGTCCAGGCAGCCCACGACCGCGCGTGGCCCGCGCGTGGCCGCGCGGTTCTGACGCGGCCCACGACCGCGCGTGACCCGCGCGTCGTGACCGCGGCGACCAGCAGTTGAATTGCGTGGTCCCGCGCGTGACCCCTGGCCGCGTCGATGTGGCGATGGCGGTCGTGGCATCCCTGGTCGCTTCGTCCCCAAGCTTCTTCGAAAACTTCGTGCGCGTGGCGCCTATGTCGCCTCCCAGGGCGGCAGGTCGATGTAGACACCCACGAAGGCGGCCGTTTGGAGGGCACGGAGGACCCTCGACGCAGCGGAGGAGCCAGTCAGTTGCAGCTTGTGGCGCGCGGTGGCACGGTGAGACGTGCTCTCTGCCGCGACTGCTGCCTCGGTGGGTTCCCCTTGGGTCTGGGGGCGGGGGCGGGAAGTTGGTTGCGCCCTCGGGGTCGATGGCGCGGGAGGGCCGCGCCTGAGGCGGGCCTGGTTACGCGCGGGGTGGCACCGGAGGCGACGCGTCGCTGGGCGGTCCGCCAGTAGGAGGCTCGTCGTCGTCTGGGGGGCCGTGCGTTGACCCTCCCAAGGCCGAAGGGGTCGCAATGATCTTCGGCTTGCAAATCACTAGGTTCGTCGAGGAACGACAAGAGGCCATGGGGAACATGGTGGGCGTCCTCCTCCGAGATCAGCTGGTTGCCGTCGTCTGCCAGCGACGTCGGGGGGTCGGCCGATGGGTTCGCCCAAGGGGTGGGTTGCATTCGCCTGGGTTCGGCGTTGGTGTAACCAGCCCGTCGGAGGGGCAGAAGGCGCGCGGGTTGCGTTTGTCGTAGATAGTGACTGCGGTGGCGCGGAGGGTCACGGCCAGCATGAAGCGTTGCTTGGCGGCGTCGGAGCCGCAGGATCAGCGTGAAGCGCCGCCGCGCCAGCGGCCAGTTCGTCAGCCTTGCTGTTGAAGTATTCCGAGGCGGCTGAAAGCAGACCGGCATTGACCCCTTCTTCAACTTTGTGGCTGGGGACTTTTTTTCGACACGGAAAGAGTCGCGGCGAAAATGGGCAGCTTGGTGCACTCGCTTCCAGAGATCAGCCATGCTCACCCTTGGCTAGGGGCTGAGTGCCGCTGAGCTGGAGCCCGAAGGCGTCGTGGACCGCCTGGTTGTCCACGACGATGTGCACTGGCCTTTCGGCGGTAGACACCACGTGGAGAAGGGCCGGGGTCTCGGCGCGCTGGGCGGGCTGGGCCAGCCCGTGGACTCTGGCAGAATGCTTAAGACGGTGATCGGCCCCGCACGAGACTCCAGTCTGCCCGCGCGAGCAGCGGGTGGGCTTCGTGCGAACAGGCCGCGGCCGCGTAGACCCAGCGCGCGCCGTCAGGGTCAAAGGTAATTGCCACGCGTCCTGCCAGAAGCCTGGCGGGGCCCGATGGGGCCGGCTGAGGGCGCGGGTCCTGGGCCAGGGCTTTCTGCAGGTCGAGGAGGTGGGGGTCCTCCGACAGCAGGCCGCAGCGGCGCGTGCGCAGCGGGAACTGAACCCGCTGGCGGTCAGAGACCATGGTAGCGAGGGCTCGGCGCTGGTGGGCCCAGCACGGGCGTCGCCACACGATGTGTTCTTGCGTCTCTTCCTCCTGGTCGCAGTGGCGACATGTCGGGTCGTCGTCGGCAGTGCATTTGGCGCGGCGGAGGCGTTGTTGCGCGCGGTCATGTCTGGCCAGATAGTTGACGCGGAGTCTCGCTTGCCAGGCGGTGCGCTTGAGTCGGCCCTAGGTGCGCAAGAGTAGCGCGGAGGCGTGCATGTCGACCCCCCGAGGCACTGCCGCGAGGATGCCGAGGTCGTGCCGGGCGGGGTTGGCCTTATACAGGGAGGACCGCCTCTGGGACGCCTGGAGCACGTGGGCGAGACAGCCGGGCTGGAGGGTGAGCCACGCGACGACGGTGCCCCAGTCGTCATGCATGAAACCTTTGGTAGGCAAGGTCCAGTTGAGCTGGTCGAAGGCCTGAAAGAATCGCGATGGGGCCACCGCCCTGTCCAGTTTGAACTGCACTGCGAGGGTCGTCGACAACGCGGCTGAGATGGTTGTCGCGGTTCACCTGTCTGCGGACAGCGTCGGGGACTTCGCGCTGCGTGACGGCCGCAAGGTCGAGCGCATGGCCAAGCACGCAGATGGCCATCATGGCCCAGTAGGAGAGCCGTGGCCGCCCGGGGGGGCGGTGAGCGGCAAGGAGAGCCTTGCTGAAGCCGACCGTAGCGGCAGCCGAGGGGGCGCCTGCACGTCTGCGCCCGAGGTGCAGACGCTGATGACAAGTGACCTGGCCGCGCGCGCTCTCTGATCCACGCCCTCGGGGAGGTTAACGGCCCGCGGGGGGCGTTCCTGGGCCACGCGGGCGCGGGCGGCGGGCGCCCGCAGGGGCTGACAGGTTGAGCTGGTCGGGAGTGGGATCGGGGCGGGCGTTGACGCGGCCGCCAACCAGCTTAAATTGGTTGTGAATGCCAGGAGGTTTGCCACATATCGTCAGCGGTTTGATTTCGTTCCAGAACGTCGGGCCGAAGCCCGGCCGACGACCTTCCCTGGGCGCGCCATCTGTCCGGACAAGTAATCGAACCGTTCGGCCTGCGTGAGCGCCGGGCCAGGCTCTGCTGCCGAGGGGGCGCTGGAGTTGCTGTCGTCGACGAAGGTGGCGCCGAGCGCCCTCGGGGTGTAGAGGTGCTGGCGGTTAGTCAAGACACGCATCGGGAACCTTGAAGGCGCCCGCTGGAGCGGGCCAAGGGCCGCGAGCAGGTCCTCCGTGCGGACGTAGCGCGCGTGGCTGGCATAAAAGTAGGCCCTGACGGTTCTGATGTCGTCCGGGCATCATCGTGCTTGGCGACTTGAAGGCAGACGTCTGCGACGAGGTCCTCGCATTAAGACATCAACTTCCAGCAAGGGACTATACATTCAAGGATCTCTATAGAATACGCCCTTCAGTGGCTGCCTGAACTGCAACCTCGGGAAGGGGGAAGAGATCTCGAGGGCGAGCTCTCTCCGAAAAACGTGGGCCTCTTGAGTGTGTCGCCGCCAGGAGGCTTGGTCCTCTGCTTCCTATGGGGGGGCCCGTTCACCCCTGCCCCTCCTGGTCCTTCTTGGGGTTCTTGTTCTGACGACCCAGGCGGCGTTCCTCACGAGCTTTGCGCTGCTCCTTGGCCACCTGGTGCTCGTCGCGGAGAGACGCGGAGACATGCTGCTGCAGTGAAGGCGCCACCATCATGCCCTGGCGGCGGCGGCCCCACCCCATGTGGTGATCCGACGATGAGTAGTCGGGAGCCGATGGATTCAGAGAGTGGGCGCTCTCTATCAGCTGCAAACGCCTGCACACGAGCTCGGCCTATCGAAGAGAGGGGGCATGCAGTTGGTCTGTGCACACCATGCTCTCAACAATCTCCGACAGCACCTCATGCTCGAAAACGCTGCGGTCTCCGTTCGAGATGCCCGAGGTCGATCGCCAAGCTGCGTGCTGTGAGACGGGCGTCTGGGACCTGTCCACGTACGTTTGGCACCTCCAGGCGACCGTCCCTGGGCCCTCCAGCCCAAGGCCTCCCTCGACCTCATCGGGCACGAAGTTCGATACACCATCATAGAAGGGCCTCTTGCGTCGGCCCATGGCGTCGAACTTGACTGGGACAACCCTCAAGTCATCCATCTTGTACTCCTCGATCGCGTTCTGGGCGATCATCTGCAAGAAGACCGTGCCGCCCTCGGGGGTTGGGACCACTGCTCGTTCCCCGAGCACCACTGACCCTGCGGGGAGTTCCTCGAGGATGTCGCCCTTCTGCTGACGGCCGTGGTCCTCCGCATAGACCCATGCCCGCCCTGCGTCTGCCCTGCGGGGCCCGCCCGCGCCTAGCCTCTCCAGGCCCTGGCGCTGAGCGTTGCGCAGTGGCTGCGCCTGCGGCCCAGGAGGCGGCGCGGCGGGCGCCCCCAGCATGCCCTGAGCCTCCCCGAAGAGTCGGTTGCGAACTTGGGGCGGCACATGCTGGCGAAAGCGGTAGATCCTGTTCTCGGGCACATGGGCAGGACGTCCACCCTGCAGCCCGATCCAGTACACCGCCTCCACATCAACCCCTGGCGCTATGTTGAACTGGTAGTGATCCCCGTCAGCGGTGTAGAGGGTGACCTCTGCGGGATCCTCTGGACTGATCCCCGTGATCATCACCTCGTGGTAAAGCTCCTCGTCCACACCTGCATACTTCAGTAAGACAAAGTCCCCCCGGGAAACCATCACTGCGAGCTGGCTGACGATGCACTCTCGATCCTGGCGTCCCGGCGAGCTCGCACTGCGGCAACCTGCTTGGCGGCCAGTTGCCTGCGCTATCCCGTCTGCTCATCGGCGGGCGGCGGCGGCAGGCTAGCTGGAGCAGCCGTGGCCTGCCTGCCAGCCCAAGCTCGGCCCAGGCCAAAGCCCGTGAGCAGCTGGAGCAGGGCGGGCACCGCGCCGTTGAGGAAGGACGCGCCTCCCTCCTGCAAGGGGTACTGGACCTCGACTGCGGGGCAGACCACCTCTGGGCACTCATGTCGTGGGCAGATCACCTCTGGCGCACGACACACCACCTCGGGACACTCCAGCGGCGATGGCGTCGGCGGATCCTCCCCTCCACCGCTGGGGGCCAGCTCTGCGATCGGCTCAGGGAGGCCCTGCAAGAAGATCGCCGCCCAGCCAGGGAGCCCCGCTATGACAGCAACTGTCAGAGCAGTGAACTGGCCGGGCCCTATCATACACCCAAGAGAATATCCTGAGCTAAATGCTACGGAGCATTGCAAGACAGAGAAAACAAGGCGGCATTCTATCTGGAGGCATGTACGCTTGGCTGGTCATACATACATACATACATGCATACACATATTTTTATGTATGGATATATAGATATGTGTGTGTGAATGTGCATGCATGTGTGCGTACGTCTGTATGTGTATTACAAGAGCCACCAGAAGTCTTGCGCGCGTCCTGTACACGGTCTGGCCGTCGTCCTCGCTGACGCCGCGCCACACGGTGGCCCATAAGATGTTGACCTCGTGCGACCTCTGCCCCAGGTTCAGCACGGCATGGTAGGTCGTGGTGCGCCTCTGCCGTCGGTCGTCGCTCATCGTCGTCGTCATCTTCGTCGCCGCAATCGTCGTCGTCGTCGTGGCCGTCGTCGTCGTCGTCGTCGTGGCCGTCGTCGTCGTCGTCATCGAAATGTGGGCTCAAAAACTATAAACATCTTTTAGTCCAAGAATTAGCCATGCTCGAGCAGCCCAAAATCGCTGGAGGCACTTGTCTCCGCATCGTGCGAATAATCGGAGGTTGGGGGGTGAGATCGAAGTGGAACGGAGAGCCCCCCACCGGGAAATCGGTTTCGGTTTCGTGTTCGTGCGTGCCGTGCGTGCGGGCGAGGCGAAGCTGCGTGGGCGGGCGAGGGGAAAGACTCTTGTGGCTGAGGCGCGGCCGGACCACATGATTCTCCCTCCGGCAAGCGGTGGCCCGCGGTGTCCCGCCGATGTCCCGCCAGTGTCCCGCTTGTGGCTGGGTCCCGGCCGGACCGAATGATTCTCCCTCCGGCAAGCGGTGGTCCGCGGTGTCCCGCCGGTGTCCCGCCGGTGTCCCGCCGGTGTCCCGCCGGTGTCCTGGTGTCCCGCTGGTGCGAAAACAATAGTGAGGCCGATGACGAAATCGATTGTGAGATCGATAGTGAGACCGATAGTGAGATCGATCGTGAGATCGATACTGAGATCGATAGTAAGATGAATAGTGATATCGATTGTGAGATCGGGTGATATCGATAGGAAGATCGTTAGTGAGATCGATAGCAAGATACAGAGTGAGATCGACAGTGCAATCGATCGAGTGAGATCGATAGTGAGATCGATCGAGTGAGATCGATAGTGGGATCGATGGTCCCATCGATCGTGAGACCGATAACGACATTGCTTATGAGATCGATAGAGAGATCGATAGTGAGATCGATGGTGAGATCGATCGTGAGACCGATAACGACATCGTTTGTGAGATCGATAGAGAGATCGATAGTGAGATCGATTGAGTGGGATCGATAGTGAGATCGATCGAATGAGATCGATAGTGTGATCGATCGAGTGAGATCGATTGTGAAAGCGATAGTGGGGTCCATTGTGAGATCGATTGAGTGAGACGCTGCAGAGTGAACGAAATAAATCATTATTTCGTTGGTTCCAGGGGGGGAGAATGATACCAAGGCGCCCAAGAGCGAAGGATGACGTAAACAACTCGACACCAAGGCTCCCAAGAGCGAGCGGCAACGCAACAATCACCACTGTTGCCCATTGCTGACCCCCCTCCCCCCCCAACCTCCTTATCACCCGCAGGGTGGTCGTATAGGTAAAAGGCAGCGAAGCTGAACGACACAGAAACGCGGCAGCCACCGCAGCCGCCGCCGCAGTCGCCGCCACAGTCGCCACCGAAGTGGCCGCCGCGTTAGTCCTCCTCCTCCACCTCCTCCTCTTCCTCCTCCTCCTCCTCCTCCTCCTCCTCCTCCTCCCCCTTCTCGTCGTCAGTCGACGGCGCTGACGTCGACCACATGGAGATACGGGCAGAGCTGGAGGTGGTGATGGTGAGCACGGTCTCCACCCTGGACTGGGACTGAGGCGGCACCACTCCTGGTGCAAAGCGCTCCTGTCCTGCGTGCTGGCGGCGGAGGCCGTCGAGGTGAAGGGGAAGCCCCGCCCGTGTGACCCCAGGCGGGCGCGGCGATGCAGGACACCCCGAAGGGGGATCCCACAGGCAGACGGCGACAGGGCGGAGGGAAAAATGCAGCGCGTACGCCCCCATCGTGGATGCTGCGACCAGCCCGCGGATGGACCTCCCAGAGGCGGTCGCTGCTGCGGAGGCCGCGCTGGCCGCGGAGGCGAAGCTCGAGGGCGTCCTCACAGGGTGTGGAGGTCGGGCCCCGCCTCGTCCAGACTGGGCCGGCACTCGCCATCGCTCGGACGTCCATTCCCTGTGTTTTTGTTTTGGTTTCGTGCGTGGTTCTTTCGCCAAATGATCAAGGATGCTCCTCGATGGTTCTCGCCGAAAAAAAAATGCACACGTCCGAGCGATGCCAGGGGCACGGCGGCGGCGCAGGCGGTGATGCTGGACGCGCACGAGCAGGTGGTCCTGCGGACGAGCCGGCGGAGCAGCAGCAGAGCGTCGTGCCGCGACGCCGCGGGGGGCGGGCCCGCGCTGGGGTGATCCTGTCGCGCGCGCGCCCGCTCCAGGGGTGGGGCTACTGGCCCTGGGGGGGCAGAGCTCTCTTCGACAACCCACCAGACCACCCCAATCCAACCCGAAGACCCGAATTTCGGGTTGGGGGGAGGTAAGGGTTCCACACGTGTTGTTTCGATGTTTCCCGACCCCCCCCCACTGGAAATCGAGGGTGAATCTGAGCCTTCGGGTTGGGTTGGGGTGGTTTGGTGGGTGGTGACTCTTGGCGCGCCGATCGTTGGGCATGAAGCTTTTTGCTTGAACAGCGCCAGCCGGCTGCATGAATCTGCGTTGTCCAGCGGCTGCTGCCTCTTGCGAGGCACTGCGCGTCTGGCAAGTGCGCTTCCCCAGTGCGCCGGTCAACCGAAGCGCTCGCAGAGACAAGTGGGACATGCGAAGGGGACAGGAAGATGTGAAAGGATCATGCGAAAGCACAAACAGCAGTGATGGGGGGACAACTGCATGAAGGAAACAGGTAATGAAAGCAACGGGTCCTGGATCCCAGAGCCTTCCTGGGGATCAGATCTTGATCCGGAGCCGTTTGTCGACGGTCCCGGAACCAGGAGATTTTGCACGGTGGAGAACTTGCAGGGCCCGTTGCCTTCAAGGCCCGTTGGCAGAATAAACCAAACGGCATAAACAAAGACTGTCAAGGGCCCGTGCGTGTTTTCTGGATCTGCGTTGGACCCCCATCCCTCACGCGCGGAGCGGTCCAGGGGCGGCACCAGAGGCGCCGCGCCGCCACTGGAGAACCCAGCGGCAATCCAGGAAATCCGCGCGGACCCCCGAACGTTCATGCTTATGCCGACGTGTGATCGTCCTCTGCCCGAGATCCAGTGCCTCGCAGCGTTGCTCTGTACGCGCTGCCGCCGCAACGCGCGGCTCCTGCGAGATGACATGGCCCGTTCAAAAATTGTTCTGGCAAAGGACCTAACCATATGCAGTTGTGACTGACGCAGCTGTGGGTATAGTTTTCGGTGGAACTTCCCATGGGCCACGAACCGTATGAGGTGTGCGCCGTAATGGGCAGGGGGGCGCTGCCACTGAGGCCTCAGGTGGGACTCCCTATGGGGCCACGAAGCGTGTGTGTGTGTGTCACTCGTACCCAGAAGAGTCCAGACGGGTCCCACCAGACAGACCTAGAAGGGCGCTCGAGAGTGCTCTACAAGGATCTGGGCAGCACGCCGTATATTGTAGTGATGCCTCCCGAGAGCCTCCTCACTGTCGAGGGGGCCAGGGTCGGGGGCGGTGCGCGCAACATTATATATATATATATATATATATATATATATATATGGTAAGCCCGCACAATCCTCTCGACGATCTCAGGCGTAGGGCGACCATCGAGCCCAAGACGCGTAGAGGGACAGTCAGGAGGCGAATCGGGATGGTATACAAACCTCCACAAAACTGGGCAACGAATATAGCGCAGCATGTCGTCACGGCTCTGAGCACACTGGAATCTACACAAGCCAATCTCTGACGAGTGCAAACGCGCGCTAGTGAGCCAACCACCTACAATCGTCTTTAGGACCGCACACTGCCATGCTGGGGGGCCTCCATTCCGAATGAGATCTCTGAGGGCATCCCAAAACGATTCCGAAAATGGGAGCTCCCAAGGGTCCATGCGTTCAGCGAGGGTGAGGTGGAGGGCGTCGGGGTAGAGGGAGAGGCGTAAGGAGGAGGAAAGGGATCTCTGCACTCTCGCGCGCCCCTGCCCCGAGGCTTCGGCAAGGGAAGCAGGGGCGGCGCGGGCGGCCGAGGCGTGAGCCTTCAGTGGAAAGGCGAACTTGCTGGCCTCAGACAGGTGGACAACAATCGGCTTGGTCCTCCAGAGCGCGGGCGACCACCAGCCAGAGCCCATCTCCGCCAGGCTGCCGAAGGCGAGCGTGGTCTCGTGCAGCGCCTTGTGCAAGGTCGACCAGTTAATCACAGTGCCCATGGCCGTGCGCATTCGCGTGGCCAAGCTGAGGACCTGCATGCCGGCTGGCCGCAGTGCCGACCAGCTCCCGATGCCCAGAAGCCCAGCCGGCGAGAACGACTGGGGCGGGAGGTGCCAAAGCTTGTGCCACGCCCAAGCCTCACGCTTGACGAGCGCGCGGGGCAGCGGCACCAGCTGCATCAAGTAGCTGAGGACCGTCAGCACGCGCGAGTTGTAGATCACAGTCGTGAGGTGCACAGGCGCGCCCTCACGGGCAAGGTCGCGAATGCGGTAGATCCATTTGGCGCCCGCCTCCTGCCGCACGTCATCGATCGCGGCGCCTGGACCCAGGATGTAGCCGAGGTACTTGGCGAGCGGAACCGCGCCCATCTGCTCCCAGCCTGGCAGCTCCTGCGCGAGCCACTCCTTGATGCTGGTCGCCAGCTCTTCGGTGAAGGCGGCGTTCAGGGGCACCACCTTGCACTTGGCCAGCCTCAGGGCCAAACCTGCTAAGGCCTGCGCCGCGGCGAAGACCCTGCGAAGGCGGAGCAGGAGCCTGCGATCCTGCAGGACCGCGCCCACATCGTCGGCGCAGGCGCCCACCACGGAGGCCTCCCAGCGCGCCAAGATCTCCTCCATGTGGGCCACGAAGGGGTTCATGGCTACGGCCCAAGGACCCCGAGAGCGGGCAGCCCTGAGCGATGCCCGCCGTGACCATCATGAAGCGGCGTAGCTCGCCCTCCATGGACACGAAGGCCTGTGGCAACCAGTACATGCCCATGATGAGCTGGTAGAGGCCGCCCTGGAAGCCAGCCCGCAGCAGCACCGCGCGCAGGAAAGACACGGCCAGGGAGGGGGACGCGTTGCCGAAGTTGAAGAGGACCATCATCGGCATGCGCTGGTCCCTGGTGGAAGAGAAGCCAACCCGACGAGCCGCGGTGTC